AGATATTGATAAGATCATTGCCAAAGAATACTTTTATATACACTTTATCAATATAAGCACCTCCAGTGTAACTCTTTTCCAATTTGATAAACAAGATTTTGAATTATTATATTTTAATTTCAACAATATTAAAATAGATCACAAGAACATTACAATAATTTTTCAATGGTTTAAGTACAAATTACAAAGAATTTCTTATTTAACAAAAATATATTTATTTTATAAGACAATATAGAAATAATTAAACTTTTTCAACAAGGATATAAATTTAGCCCTGGAAACAAAGTCATGTTCCAAATAGCACCAATTTGAACTTATAATAAAAAATATATTAATTTCTAATATCTCTTTCAAAAACAACAACATTCTATTAAATTAAAATAATTATTCCCCAAGCCATTAAGCAATTGAAAAGCTCTATTAAAAGAACAGAGTCAAGTTTTCCAATATTCTTCTTATAAGCAAAGTTAAATTTTTTCACAAAAAAATATCCAGCTTTTCTTAAACAGTTATGACTATCAAAGAAACTCTTAAGGTCTTACTGACTAAAAAACAAAAAAGAATGACTAATTACATGGCCAAGTAAATTTTAATTTAGTCAAAGAAAACTACTTCAACTTTTGAAAAAGGCTCAAACAATATATCTCAATAACTTTTAATAACCTTAAGCCATCCTTGAATCTATTTATCCTTCATAATGATATTTAACTATAAGATAATCCAGAAATACTTAATGATACTATTATTACTTACTATTAAAACTTCTTTTATTTAAAGAATTTTTTATTAATGAAAACTGGCTTCCAAACTATAGTTCCAATAATTAGATACTTATTTATCTATATTATATCATATTAGTCACAATTAATCAGGTTGATATAGAAGAGTCAATCTTATTTTTTTCTTTCAATAAAGTACTTAATCTCACTAAAATTCCTTATGAAGCCTAGAAACACATCAGCTTATATATCCAAAAAATATTTAGAAAGCTTTTAAATAAAATTCTTAAAATTGATTATATTCTAGTATTCTGGAAAAAATTTGACATTACTTTGCTACTTAAGAAATTAATATAGTTATATAATCTCTCAGATATCAGATCAATAGTTTTAATTGAAACTAGTTACAAAATTTTTACAAAAATACTTAATATAAAATTATCTTTTATTATTGTCAACAACAATATTCTCTCTTAGTCAAACTTTGCAAGTACAAAATATCAAAGCTCTATAGAACCTATTTCTATTATTTGCTCTCTTATGAAAGTTTTAACCAACTTGATAAAAAATTTCTGATAGCTTTGTTTGACATCTTCAAAGCAAATAATTTAGTCAACCTTAATAATTTCTTAGTAGCTATGAATTGAATCAAGATCTTATAACAAATCTCATCAATTGTATTGAATTTTATTAGTAGACAGATCTCTTTAATTTATATTTTATCATAATCTTATCACCCCTCTGTTGATCTCTCAGGATTTATATTAAGGAAAAACAATAGCATTTTTTTAAACTGTTTTTATGATTTAGTAATCTTCAAAATTAAATGAATTCTGTTTGAAAGTAACAATATTTTTGCTTACATCAATAATATAATCATATTTATATATAAATTATCAATATTACAAGATGCTACTAATATTTTTACATTCTTCTTAAAGGTAGATTATATTATATGTAATAAAAACAAGGCAGATCTTATAATTAGTCACTCTTTTAAAAGTGACAAATACAAAAAGAAGCTGATATTAGAAGATATATTAATACTTTCAAAGTCTATATATTAATCTATTAAATATTTAGAAATATGTTTATTAAGCAAATCATTATCATCTGTTATAAAAAGAAAATACAAAGAAAAAGTTAAAAACTATATCAAACACATAATAAAATAATGAAGCGAAAGATATCAATAACAATTCAAGTATTCAAATGGATTATTTGTACTCAAATAGAGTATGCTCTTCAAATAGTGGTAATCAATGCCAATGATATATAGAGACTTCAAGTTCTATTTAACTATTCTATTAAGTATAAACTGAAAATAGAAAGAACAATTTCTAACAAAATATTATTTTCACAAATCAGTTTCAATATTACATCTTTCAAAGCTTGAAAGAATCAATTAATTATAAAAATATTAACATCAATACTCAACAATAGTAAAATTCTCTCCTATATAAAAAATAAGATTTTATCAATTCAAATATGCACAGTAATTTGAGCTTGTCTAATTTGTCAATCTGAATTATTTTCAAAAAATAACTCCTGAATCTTAAAAGCAGTTACTATAGTTTTTTGTTATAAAATTAATATTTGCCTCACGAATTGTCCATTTCAATACAAGGACTCATATCTTTTGATAAGTCTCTACCTATCAATTAACATATCCATTACCATCATATTATTCAAATCCAATATCAAATTTATTAGTTATTTTTTCTGATACAAGTTTCCTGAAAAAAACACATGATCAAAATTTTATATTAAAATTTACAAAATTATATCAGGCAAAACTCTATTTTGATTTGATAACTTTAAACTTAATATATCAAATCTAATTGGAGATACCCTTATTTGTACAAATTCACATCTTTTATTCTAGGCATTTTTCTACAATAATAACTTTGAATTTATAAAAAGATACAAAAACATAAAAAATATAAAGATAATAAATAAAAAATATTTTATTCTAAAAAAAAATAATAATAATTTATATCAACTCATCCTTTGTTCCTATCTACTAAAATTCTGCAAAATTTTAAAATCTATCTCTAATATCAAGTTGATCTGGCATATCACATGAAATAACTTCCTCTATTTTCTAAATAATATTAATAAACTTATACATATATTTATCTTACAAGCTCTCTTGTATATTTCAACTATAAACATATTATCCTTTCCTCAGTTACAATCTCAAAACCCAAAAAAATATTTCTTTATCAATATTTTAATACTATTGAACTAGAGAAAAATAATACTTTAATTTTCTACCCCAATCTCTCTTAAGCACAAAATAAAACTTGGACTATTTTGTCAAATCTACTACAATTAATCTTAGTAGGCATAAATATTGAATGCAATCTCAAAAATTATTTCAACTTTATAATATTATTCTATTCTAATAAAAACATTAAACTACTCTATAGCCACTTCAATAATTATTGTCAAAATCTTTTTATATCAAAAAATATTTCATTGATCTTTTTAAAACATTTATCAACAATCAAACCTTATTATATTATACCATAAAAAGGCTATCCCTATTCTTAATAAATAATTATAATATATTACCACTTATTAATAATTAAATTGGAACTAGCTGCACTCACTGAATCAAGTTTATTAATACATTAATTAACCTTATTACTATCATTATCAGTCAAAACTACCTTTTCAAATCTATTAATATCTAGAACTTTATATTATTTAAAGAAGCAAATAAAAAGTGTTGACATATTAATAAATATCTCTTTTGATTATTAGCTGCATTTAAAATCAAAATCTTTTTTAATAGTCTTCCTACCAAAACTAAACTTCACAACAGATACCTTTTTCTCTACCCACTATCCAAATATTTTCAGTATAATCATATGATTGAAAATCAAGAACATGTCTTCAAGTACATAGAGAATCTAAAATTACTTAACAAAAAACTTCTCAAACTTAACAATTTTCTTAAAGAAATTCTATAAAAACAACAAAAAAAAAAAACTATTCTATATAGATAAACACTTATTATTTATTTATCATATTAACAGATAATAGAACCCTTCTAAATATTTTCCTGGAAATTTCTAATCAAATTTTTGATCAAATTTATAGCAACAAAACAAAGATAAAAATCATAAACAAGGCTTTAAAAATTATGCACAAAATATAAAAAAAAAATATCTATTATCACAATTACAGTCCTACTCACTGGTATCAAATAGAAATTTACAAAAACAACTAGATCACCACTCGATAATTAACTATCAAACCAATCTCATAACCTTTTCAATATCATCTTAATAATATCAAATATATTCTTAAACTTTACAAGCTATTCAATTTTTCTTTTGTAGTATTGATATTATTTTTAAATAAGTAATTGTCATTTGATCCTTTTCTGGCATACCCAGTCATAAACTACAAGTTTGTTATAATATAATAATCATAATAGGCATTAGTTAATTTATTTAGGTAACACAACCTTGTAAAGACTATTCATGTAAATGTTTATAAATAATTTTCAAATTAAAACTAGCATATATTGTTTATTTGTGATAAAAAAGACAAGTTGATCATATTGTAATTATATTAGATCTCTAATCAATTTCTAAATAAAGGCATGTCATTATAGCATAATTGTGAATTATAAAAATAAAATAAATCAGAGTTAATATATATACTGTATATTAGATAATACAAATAAAATACTATATATTCAAATTTAACAATAAGAATTCTAAAGTCAAAGTATACTTACTATATCTTAAATATCTTAACTAATCATTAAGAAAAAAAAGGTTGTAAATTATATCATTGTGTAAATAAAATTTCAGAATCTACTGTGTCGATATACTAATTTGCATATGGTACCTGGGTCTTAATCAAAGGCATTTACTTTAAGGGCTAGCTGCATGCGGTGGTTGGTCATTATACAATAAATGGGATTGTTCCCTGACGTAAATGGTTCAGTATGACGGGCTTAAACTTATCGGGCTTAAACTTATCGGGTTTTAAACTCGGTGACGCCATTGTATGTGTGTACATAAAAAAGAAAAAAATGTTTAATTATATACAGTACATATGTTCACCATAAAAGAAAATAATTTGCGTACCTTGCATGCATATTTATACAGTATTTTCCGTTCGCACAATTATTAATCACCATTATGCTTTACCCAGCACCACACTTCTGTCTTTGCCTTTCAATATCGACAAAGCTTTTCGGCAATTGGCATTCGCTATCCAATTCGCTAAAAATACCTCAATTCCTCGTGAAATATCCACATGACAAATCTCAAATCAGTCTCACGTTCAACGGAGTTGCTGGAAGACCTTTCTGTGGATTATGGTTCTCTCATCGAAGATAATCATGAATCAAACGTCCTAATTGAAGTCGGCGAGGAACCAAACTTTAAAATCTTTAAAGCTCATTCGTTGATATTAAGAAGCAGATCGGCGTACTTTCGCGTGGCGTTGTCGAATGAATGGGCGAAGAAAGACGATGAGGGAAATTATGTATTCAAGAAACAAAACATTAATCCTCAAACCTTTGAAATCATACTCAAGTTTGTGTCATCTTTATTATTGATGGAAATTGCATCTTCCTTACGTACACTGATACGATTTACTACTATTACCATTTTATGATTGCACTGTAGGTTCATCTATTGCGGCAACGTGTGCATAGACCACCTGAATGGAGCGGACTCGGCCTTACTTCTAATCGCATCAGACGAATTAGAACTTCACAAATTAAGCAAACACGTCCAAGTTCACATGACCGAAGATTTGGTCTGTTGGTTACTCCAAAATATTCTTTATGTGTTTGAATTTGTACTGAAGTGTAATGATTTCAACATTCTTCGAGAATTCTTATTGGGAATAATATGCAGGGATCCGGCAATTGTCTTTGGTCCGGATAAAAAATATTTTCATTTTGATGAATCGTTTATGGCTCAAATCCTGGAACGTGATGACCTGGAATTAGATGAGATTAAGATTTGGGAGCACTTGATTGAGTGGGGTATAGCGCGTACAAATCTCCACCACCAACTTCGAAAAGACATATCGACGTGGTCGCGAGAAGATTTCTCGGCCTTGGAAAAAACTTTGCACAATTGCATTCCACTAATAAGATATTTCCAAATTTCATCGCCGGATCTTTACGACAAGGTTAGACACCCCTTCAAGAAAATTCTCTCCAAAAGGCTCAACGAAGACATCATAAAGTACTACATGAAACCGGGATACATGCCGGTCGATGGGATTTTACCGCCGAGATTGACTGTCGTTGATTCCTGCATCATCAGGTCGATCCACGTATCGCTTTTATGCAGTTGGATTGACAGGAAAGATGCCAGCAAAAAAAAATTTTATAGTTGTAAGATTCCGTACGATTTCAGGTTACTCTGTCGTGGCACCAAAGACGGATTTGATGCGTTGACATTTCACAAAAAATGTGACGACATAATTGGAACGATCGTGCTGGCCAAAGTACGCGGGAGCCAAAAGGTGTTGGGCGGATATAATCCGTGTTCATGGCAAAGATCGTTGACCAAAAATTCTGAAGGGACATCGAACTCTTCGACGAGCGGATATAAGGATGCGTCGAATAGCTTTATATTTTCATTTATGTTAGATGAAGGTCTAAGCGAAGCAAGATTGAGTAGGGTGATTGTTAAGGATAAGGCTATCTATTGTTCTACCTCCACCGGCCCTTGCTTTGGGGAGGGGGATCTTTGGATGACCGGGAATTTTGGATCATCGATAAGAACCTCGTATGAGAATAGCGTCACCGATGAATTGAATTTTTTCACCGACGATTACGAGGTTTTTCATATTCGCGATAAAGAAAATATTTAATGTGTTGTTCATATTTTAAAACCGTTGACATACTTGTGCACCACCCCCATTTTGACGGCCTATACTCAATTTTGAAATAAATGATAATTGATGAATTTTATTTTATTATTATTTATTATTAGCGTATGGTCAACCCCAAAAGGTAACGCCCGAAATTTCACGAGAAAATCGGGTGTCACTTTTTGAGGTGGTCTTACGTGTGAACATCGATTTAACGCGCTCGACCACTAACCGAATAAGATTTTAAGAGAACGGAGAAAGAATGCTAAAATGGTTGGTTATATGAATAAAAGCCGACTATCAGAAAATCGGCGATACCGTTTGTATACAATTTTTTGTTTTCAAAGGGAGCAAAATGTCGTGCTGCACGTATGTGCGTGCGAACTTTTCTGCAAATAAACGATTTTCAAGATTCAGAATAACGATAATTTTGTCTTTTCCACTGCTTCGAAATCAAATTGTGCGTGCCAAATTGCCGTAAAGAGAAAGGAAAATGAAGAAATAAAAAGAAGAAATCCGATTATACATTCAACGCCATATGTGATGAAATGGTATTTCGAGATTCTCGAGTTGTTGAATACATAGATATTGTGAACATCATAAGAATATAGAGAGGCGTGTCTTTCATTTCATTTACTAGAAATTAATCATCAAGGTTATTTATTATTATTAAAGGAATGATAGTAGTTCGTCAAATCATCATAAAAAATGATTTGGTGCCTTGTTCCCAATACGATGTCGTCAATAAAAAGTAAAGAATAAACCGATCAAACAAATCTATATTGCCCCGAAACATTTCTTTATATTCTCATCATCCGTTTTGGTAATTCCTGTCTAATACAAATAAGTAAGTATTAACAGATGGTCGCATAATACAATAGGTTCGACTCGGAAACGAAGTACCAACTGACTCCAAGTTTGAAATTCTAGAGGATAAGTTTCATAGACACCTCCCCACGTAGACTAACCAATCCAAAATGAAATTCATCGATGATGAGCTCAGCGTCACACAGTTTTACGACGAACGACACTGGATCATCTATTGTTGGCTTTTTTTATTATCATATCTAATGTTGCATTATTACGCACCGTGAAATAATTATACATGTGATGCTATCAGTTCATGAATCTATTCATGGAGAAGAAAATAAAGAGGCACTTTTACGCAAGATCTTGCAAGTATTGAAAGATTAGAATCTATCTATGTCTATATACTTTATGCGAAGTAGTACGTCTGATGATCTGTAAAATCGAGGAAGAGAAGAGCCGGTAAACGTTATATCCATAATAATCGACTTTCATAGAATTGAAGCACCTGTGTGTTACGAAAGATGGTGAATTCGTCATACAAAGATCTGAGCAAATGACGCGTAAATTAATTCGAATAAATACCGCTCGAGGACACTTGACGTTCACCACCGAATTTGGATGAACTGAGGCGCTTCCATTCTTCCTGGATGTGATAATGAGAGTGTGAATGTCGTTTGTTGCATTGCATTTAACCGATCACGTTTTATACTGCACGACTAACCATTTCAAGAAACAATGGAGCACCCCCGTGTTAGGGTCTCGCGCCATTGTTATGACTTTTCGCACACGGTCGTCCCATACACCTTTCTTCACCTTGGAAGTGCTTTCTGATATCATTTCGGCACTATTCCCTTCTTTATCAAGAAATTTTTGTCTCAATTCCATATCGCTATTTAAAAAATCGCCAATTGTAAGAACTCTAATGCGAAGCTTCAATTGTATCGATCATTCCAATCAAAATATTCACCACTCGTTCGCTTCTTTCCATTCCGGCCACTCGATGGTCTTCCACTTTACCAAATACTGAACTTTACCCTAGCAAATATGGGCAAATTCTGTTAACCGGTGGTCTCGAAACCATATTTATGAAAGATTGTGAAATACCTTGTGATTACGCAAGTCAAGTATGGCCTCGGTCTTAATTTCCTGAATCTTTTGTCCATCCTCCACACACGTTACGGTAGGTTCCTTTTCATTTTGTCTATTCTCTTTATATGCAAGATAGATGAATAGATTGATCACTAACATTGAAAGTGCATTATCGACTTTTTTTGTTTGTTTGTTATAAAAAGTAAATTCACCTTCATCAGCAATCGCTCGGTTTCCGTTAACATCCACCTTTTCGGGACAATTATCATTGGAAATGACAATAGGAACGGTCATTGGTACAGTGTGAAAAGACGGACCAAAAATTGGTACTTCAAGATTGGCGTGAAATTGTTGACCAACGAAATTCGACATTTCGGAGTTACCAACGGTAATGTTGAGAAGTGTGGTGGTAAAGCATTGAATACGAGTTTTATCATCGATCTCGTTTAAGTAAACATATTGGGTTTCCTGTCCTTTTGAGGATATGGTATGAGAAAGACGGTGGTACGACATTTTATTGAAGAGAGATTATTACCGTTTGTCATTTTTTCAAACGATGGTTGTCTTCAGATAATCGAATAAAAAAAAAAAAAAAAATCGATCGCTAAAAAGAAAAATAAGTAGCTTTTATGACAAATAATATTTTGCACGCTTAAATAGTAATGTAGGAAAAAAAAAGTGTAGGCATATACTGTATATATACTTATAGATTTTTTAAAACAACAAAAATAACGACAATCTTAAACAAGAAAACAAAGAACAATTTTGTGAAAACAGATCGTCTCATTTATTTATAAGTGCTAATAAACTATACCGATACAGTAAGTTAATACGTTACGCGAGAATATCTATTATGATTTTTTTTTTTTTTTTTTTTAATATTTTCAAATCCACAAATCCGAAATTAATGGTATACACAAGGTTTAAAGGATTTAAAAGAGAGTTTGATGAGGAAATTTTTCCATCAAATTAATGGGACGGGCGCATATGGTATTCATGCATAAAGCAACCTGTCCTTTACTCAATCGCCATAAAATATGCCCGAATCGTAAGCCTTATTTGAAACGTTTAACTCTCCTTGTTTGTACTGTATAATGCAATACCTAAAAGAAGTAAATTAATAAAAGAATAGCCTTTTTTTTTCTTATTATTATTGTCCATTTAATATTAGGGGCTTTCCGTATGAAGTCTATTCCTTGACGTCGACGCACTTTATCAGATAGCTTGAAAAAGCTAAATGTAAATGTGCATTTACCGTGTATGTCTACCACCCCACCTTCCACTATCCGTAAGAGACCGTCAAGTCGTTGCGCCAAGATAATTGCGTGCATTCAAAAGGACGAAAAAAAAAAGTGACTAAAATGTTTTCAGATAGCCTATTAAACATTCTCTATAATATAAACAATATGCTGTATATTGATTTGAAATCCTGGTATCCATAATTCTTGAATTCTATATAGCATATATCAGAAGGATTAACATAATGGAAATGTAATTATTTTAAGAAATTCATATATGATATTTAGTATAGTTGGTGGTATAAAGTTTATATACTGTTGCATGTGATTTAAATTAATAAAATGGTAATCATAAATTTATTAAAAGAAATCTTAATTTATTAAAATAAATTAATACTAAAAGAAGTTAAATTCAAAAAAATTTGTAATTACTAATTATAAAATATATATATATATTAAAAAGTAATAAATCTTCAATAACATTGACTCTTTCCCATAGATCCCTGATCACCACTTCCAAAGAAGCGTTCCTCCAAAACTTTATGTTTTGAGAGTAATAAAACTTCAAAACTT